GTTTTACTGCAAAATTGTACCAGAATGTCATCATTTTGTTTTTTGTTTATATAGTCCCATCTGAAATAGAACGGGCGGCGTTAGCCCCCTGTAGGAAGGATCAGAGAAGAGAACGTAGTTCAGGTATGATAAGATGAATCTTTCCTATTACTTTTCGATTTTATTTAAAGTCTTTCTTTGAACAATATAATCAAAGTAGCTTAGAGCTACGGGTACAAACATGAATGATGGGCATGTTGTTTGTATGACACCTCCAAACTACTGCTTTGTAAAACTAAACAAAGTTTTGAATTCATTGTGAAACCATGGTCATCACAGCACTGTTCACGTTGATACTCAATAAACCTTATCTTTTTTATCTGCCGGGTAGATGAGAGTGATGAACTACTAGAAGAGCAGGAACCCCTCAGTTCAAGTAAAAAAACAGCTACAGCCTCCACATCACAATCCAACAGAAGTGAAGGTATGTAAATTCTTTCCGTTGTATTTTTATTATTTTTTTTCTGTGTCATATTAAAAGCTTCACTCTTTGACGTTCGGGATATCTGAAATATACTCCCGTGCAATCTAGACTGAAATATTGCACCAATATTTGGATTTGGTCATTATTTCAGTCACGTGCACGTTACCGGTGTCATATATTGACGCAAGCTTAACCTTCAAATGGCATTGAAACGTGTCACACACTGGCTGCATGCATTAAAGTAGAACACAACGTTACATTGCTGAGCTAAACAATAATAATAATGATAATAATAATAATAATAATAATTAATAACAATGATAGACATTTTCGTAGACTCCCTGCTCTGTAGGTTGTGTGGCCAAAAGGGTGAAACAATAAATTATAAAATTAGGGGGTTAAGTGCTTGGCACGGTAAGAGTACAAGGGAAGACATGACAACATTGTCAGGCTGGGGCGTGCCTAGGGCTTTCCATAAGTTGCTCGAGATTTTCCAAAACGTTTCCCGTAATCTCAAAAAGTTGCTCAAAAAACAACCAAACGTTGCTCTTTGTAACGAAAAATGCTCAAAAGTTGCTCGAAAAAGCAAAAACTTCTTTTGGTCTGATGCTAAAATATGCAAATTGTACAACAAAAGTAAGATTGTAAGCATTTTTGTGCAATTTTGTGGCGTAATCAGTGTTGCTAAATAACTTTGTCCTCAATTTTAACCCAAAAATGTAATGAGCCAATAAAATTGTTGAATGACCTTCTTCATCCGAGACACTCAAGTCAGTCGAGTGTAAATCTAAGTACACCATTTTGAATTTTCTCTAAAAACCGCTGACCTAACAGCCCAGCTACTGTTATTTTGCGCCCATGTTGTGCAGCGGGGGGAGAATTTGGCGCCTTTTTTTACAGGAAATTCGTAAATTGTCGACTAAATTGATACAATAAAAACCCGCAATTAAGAACCTGAAAATTAAGAACCTGTCAGCCTAGAATTAGCCATTTACACCCCCTATAAACAAGAGCCTGTTTAGCCTAGAAAATGAAAAACAGGTTCTTTTTTTTAAAGTCATATTAGTGAAATGCAGCTGAAAAGCTGTGCAAGAATCCTGTTTGGAGAATTAGGAGCTTAGCATTGCTGTGCAAATAAAAGCACTAATTTATTGATGTAAAAAAATAAAGTGCAAGAGTTAATATTGTTCATCGCATTTTGAAATTGAAAAATATGCAGATTACCATCTTGTTTTGTAGTTTGTTTTTTTTTTTAATTTTTTTTTAAAGAAATAAGAACCTATTTAAGAACCTAAATAGCCTAAAATTGTGTTAACTACTATTTAAATAAGAACCTGTTTAGGCTAACTCCAGAAAATGTAGATTCATACTCGCGGGTTTTACTGTACTGTGAAATATGGAAGAAAGGCCAATTTAAGCACTAAAAGCTGTTCCGATATCTCAAAATTAGAAGATAAACAGAGAAATGAAATTGCTCAGAATGTAAAAAGTTGCTGAGCAACTTATGGAAAGCCCTAGGCGTGCCGCCCGGTTCTCCAAGTCCTGAAATTATTTCAGACCAAAGAAATGTCATTTTCCACACCCGTTTTCAGACGAGACCTCTAAAATCCTTTAGGTAGATATTACTTAGACCCCAAGCAAAACAATTCTTCAAATCCATTTCGAATTCGCATATTTGTCTTTCTTACTTACTAATTTGGAGTTGAAACGATAAATACGTTCATACACTCCCGTAGTTCCCTCGAAAACCATACCCGATTCTAGAGCGAAGTGGGCAAAGTGTGTACCCGTTTTAAGACCAAAACGGAGCAAAACGCGACCCGATGGTGCGGTTCACTCATACCTATATTTGCTTATATAAGGGAGTACCCCCGGGTATTGAGGGCAGAAAACCTGACATTGTTTTTGTTGACAAAGATATTATTGTGGATATTGATTCATAATGGGATCACAGAGTTTATGAAAAGGAAAGTGAAAAGGTTAAGAAATACCGAGACCTAAAGAGGGAGATTAGAAAATTATGGGGTATTAGACGCG